TGCGGTCGTTGCATGAGAGAGAATAATTGTGTTGTGGTTGCAAAGTTGCGACGGGATTGAGGGTGTGTTGGTCGCCTGCAGATTTGCTTGCTATTGTGCTTCAATGTACGCGTGTGATCGCGATATGCTGATTGCATGTGCTGTTATACCGTTCTGTATATGTATTGCGGTTCTGCGTGGGGTTTTTTTTTGTTATATAGGGAACCATCGGTTGATGTTACGCTTGTTCTTGTTATTGTTACTGTTACGAGGCACACGTGTATTGACGGTGTTAATCTTTATTCTTGGGGGTTGAGGGATTGTTGCAGCCGGGACGGCTGCGAGCTGTACAGGGGGGGGTGATGTAGGGGTTATTACGGGAGAAACGGCGGACAACAAACACAGGGTTGTCGGCACTCACATACACGGGTGGTCACACCGACGTCCGCATCAGTTATTGCCCACGCCCCAGCCCTCGGAGGCGATCCCTATAAAAGGTGGAACCCAAAGAGCTCGAGTTCAGTTCGACACGAAGCTGACCAGTGAAGATCCAAGACTCGGAGATTAGGCCCTGGGACTCCCCGGTCTCGCCGTCCTTATAAGGGCCGAGCCGGGTAAGCCAGTGGCGCGGCCCAGGAGCTTCCAGACCGCTGCCCTTGTCAGGGCAAGGCTGGTTAGCTGGTGCCGAGATCTGTGCTTGCCAGGGCCAGATCAGTCAGCCTCCCGTAGCCCAGTAGAGGAGGACTGGGGGACAGGACAGAGGGCTTAGTACTAGGGTGGGTTTCCCATAGTACGGGTGAAGGGGCCGATACCCCTTCAACTATTGTATCTGTCCCAGAGTTAATAAACAGTGTGTCTCAACTTCGACATCGTCTCCTCCGATACTTACTACAACTGCACCAGATTGAGTTAAAAGATGACGTCACCGTGCTGCGCTATTTAAGACCGGAAGCAAGTGGAGGGCCTCACCATTCTGGCAAATTGCCCGATGATGCTGATGTAATTACCAACACACCGGTGGGCTAAAGTAGTGAACTATTTGTCTTTTGTAAACGTGTAAACGTGACACATTTTTTACTGTTTGGCCATGTCGGGTGGTGGAAGGTTACGACATGTTTATAAATAACGCGATCTAACCCAAAAACCTTTATTATGAATATTGGTCGCGAAAGCCTACGTGTTAAACTGATACATACATACACTGCATCTTCGATAAGCACGTTTGGCTACGTATGGTTTGAAAGAAGTTCAACGTACATACATGTCTCTCCCCTACAATGAATGTCTTGTCCACTATTCTTGAGTCACGTGTAACGGAAAGGACATTAGAGCCAGGCAATGGACAGTATATGGAATCGGTATTAAAATTGATCCACACGTGCATAAAATGCAGCTCAAATCTCCCGTGGGAGAATTATTAATTTTTACATGAATAATAATATGCAAATAAGACAACATACACAGCACACAAAGTGGAATAACCCAAACAGACGGAACATTAAATAAGCACGGGATAGTACAAACGAACAAGACAGCAAAGTAAGACAGACAATACAAACAAAACAGGGAATTGCAAGCGATGCACACACCTCAGGAAATGCAAGGGTCACATTGATATCCTAACGGAATTCATATATAGCGCCTTAACTAAGGCTTTGGCAATGGGCGTTCCCATTGGGTCAGTGGGGGAGGCCTTACCTGGTAAAATAAAAATAGTTTAGTTTAACATCTTTTAGAGTTTAGAATGGTAATCACCTCGTGTGGGTGTAATAGTTTTAGCAGTCAAGCACATCCTCCGGAATGGACTACAAGTAGCGTGGGGAAAACAAGTGCGTGGGGGAAACGCAAATGTCAAAGCGTCAGATATTTCGGGGAAATGAAAAAAAACATTCATTACTCAGACAATGGAGGCAACGTCAGGGAGACAGCTCACAGATGCGCGAGGTGAAGAGTTCGATCCCGACTCTGACAATGCCTGCTGTTGTACATTTGGAGTTTACGTGTTTGTTCTCTCTCTCTCTCCGTGGTCAAGTGGATTTTTCTCCCGTCCAAACCCGTTTTTCCCTTACACGTTTAGAATCAACACCGCACGTTTAAGTATTTGGTTGCTGATATACATTTCCACGCGTTAGGCCGCTTAGTCGAGCTATCATTTCTGAGCCAGGTCACCACAGTAGAGTGATATTACCTTCCTCGCCTGGTATGCAGGAGGTCAGTGGTTCGATCCCGACACTGACACCTGCTGTATATTTGGAGTTAGCATGTTCTCCCCGTGGTCGCGTGGATTTTTTTCTCCGGGTCCTCTGGTGTTTCCCTCCATATTTAGAAACAAGCATTTAGACTATTTAGATTATTTTGCTGCTATAAATGTCCAAATGATAAGCCACTTTGTTGAGCTATCATTTTTGGCCAGGTCACTTAAAAAAATTAAGTTAATACTTCAGTGAGCTTTGCCTGCTAGGATGGGGATGGCTTAGTTTTTGTATGTGTTTGGATGATTTGTTTTACTTTCTTGTACTTTGCACTCCTATCATCTATATATATATAAAAGGAAATTAGTGAATGTGTGTCTGTTCGAAATGTTTAGCATACTTCCCAATCTGCAACAAACTTGAAATTTGGCATGTGGGTAACTTCCGGACTATACACAATGCAAAAAGTATAAAAATAGACTTTTGTATTTTGGGGGGGTGGAGGACGCAATAATAGATATATTTTGCACAGCAAGTGAGCGGTGACGTCATATCTGTGATGTTACCCGCATGCAGCAGCAACGTCACGCAGTATGCCTGCTGACGTCACGCATCCCCCCCCACCCTCCGTGTAGGCCGTGTATTAATCCAAGACAAGAATCCAAGTCTCGGGCGAAGCCGGGTAGTAAATCTAGTGTATTTATATTTTATTGTTGTAACATTCTTACTCGCCTCGACTGGACATCTGTGAAAAAGAGCTTTATAGCTCACCGGATTCCTCCAAGGCTAAATAAATATTCTGCTACGGATAAAATATCTATACATAGCTCAGTGGGCCTGAGCTGGTAAGACAGTTTATAGTTTGAAATAGTTTATAAAATACTTTAAGCACTCGTTCCTTTCAAAGTCAAGTTTTGGAAAAACCCTGCGATCAGCTTGGCTGGTGTTTCACGGACAGAACTATTTTATGATTAAGTTTTCTTCGCGTTTCATAATCTTTACGAGATAAATCGTGCCTCCAAACCTTCTTGTATATGTAATACGTGAACACTTTAAAATTCAAGTTGCAATGTATTTTTTTTTTTACTCTTTTCAACTTTAGTTGTAAAGTGTTTGAAATGGTATTGCATTGTACAAGGTGGTCCAGATGTCTTGTGACCCCCCAATTTAATTCTCGAAAACTGAATGTATAATTATTTTTAAGAGAAATTTATATTAAAAAACACAAATGAATATGCAAAGGAAAAAAAATTGTTAGGGGTCAATTAATTAATAATAATACTTTAATGTTAAATGTAGCGACATCATTCATGCCAATTACATTAAATATGTGAGGACCAAATCCCATATACGCGGTTGGCTAAGTACGGTGCTAAAGAACGCACATACACACACCAAGCAAATGAAAATCCCTACTACTACGACCACCACCGAGCAACAATAAAACATGAATGAACGAATAAAAAAAATGGCATCAAAACTAAAAATATTTCTGTGATCTGACAAAAAAACTCTATCATGGACAATATGGGTCGCGAAAGACTACTGCGTGTTAAACCCACAAAAGTTATCACCATCGACAAATAAGTCTGTTGAGTCTCACACATCCCAGATCACAGTTTCAACTTCCCAACCAAGCCAGAAAACCTTCACAGAAGGGGCAGTGGTGGAGCCGCCAAAAAGTTACGACTCACTTCGACCGATCGGTCCAAATTAAACTATCAACTAAACTGGGGGTCACAACACATTTGGACCATAACCCTGTACAGTCGGGTAGCATTTCAAGCAAGAGCCATTTCCGTTTTTGTGCGTTAACAGCACAACCACCTCCAGTCCCTACTTATTTGGATTTCCCCTTGGAGACTGGAATAAACAGCTCCAGTGGTGACATCAGTGGTTGCTGAATCAATACATTTTATAATTTCTATAAGGTCACGCTAATTACACATAAAGTACTCGCCACAAACGAAACACAATACCTTGCTGATCTCATCAAGAAGGGTAAACTATCACGCAAACTCCAGTATCCTCACAGCAGCAGTGGCTTTTGGCTAACCATCAAATAAAGACGGTCACCACATCACGTGCTTTAAAATGCGCTTCTGTGGCCATCTGGAACGCTCTACCTTCAAATATTAGGAATCCGTTGGAACTGTGCATTTTTAAATAATCTAGCTAAAAAACTAATTTATTTTTAATTGATTTTTGTGTTTTAGTTTGTTGTCCTTCCCCCTCGCACCTCCGACTGGCGCAGTTGCCTCCGTACGGTGCGAAAGAAGTTCAACATGCACACAGACATCATCATCACAGCTACTCCTGACGCAACAATCATTTGGCCCATCAGCCACAATTTTAACTTAGTTGTTGCTCTACATCAACATCAGCCATAAGAAGAAGACAGATCTACTATTTCACACTGAGACCCATAGACTCAAATAGATGGTGCCTGTCGCACATTTTTTATTTAAAATCTACATTGAAAGCTCATTTCTTTAGAACTTCTTCTTGTCTTTTAGTTTGTTGTCCTTCCCCCCACACCTTCGCCTCTCACGATTGGCGATGCACGGTGCTTAAAGAGGCTCAACATACGTATGTATATTAAAGAGCAGGGTGCTCGCATTTCCCACGCCTCATTGGACCTAAGCGAAGTTACGAAGAACAAAATAAAAATGCGCACTCAGGATGTCGCTCCGAGCCTACCGACTTGGGGCCAGTTTCTCCGGCTCATGCCCTGCCCAGACAGAGAATCGTCACAACCCCCCCCTCTTCCCCCTTCCCCCCAACCACCCACCCCCCGCGCGACGGCAACGCTGCCAGCATCTCTCTCACCCCAGCACACGCCCCAGCGAGCCGCCGACAGGGCGCAGTCCTCCGTGTGCGGCAGGATTCTCTTCACCGGGTAGTCCATGCATCGGCTGTTGGTGTTGCACCACAGGCACTGCAGTTACATGGTGGGGGGGGGGGGGGGGGCAAAGGCGGGAGCAGTCAGGTGAGAGCACGCAGCAAGCTCGGTACCGATGAGCGGACGGCGTCGTAATTCCGACTAGGAACAACTGCGGCGTGTTAACTATTTTTATTTACTAGGCAAGGCCACAGATGATAGCTTAACAAAGTGGCTTAACGTGTGGAAATGTATAGCAACCAAATACTCTTAAACACGTAAAGTTGATTCTAAATGTGGAGGAGGAAAAAATCGGAGAACCCGGAGAAAAATCCACACGCCACGGGTAGAGACACGCAAACTCCATATATACAGGTGTCAGGGTTGGGATCAATTCCACGACCTCCTGTATACCAGGCGAGGGAGTTAACATCTCCTGGCCACTGCGGTGCCCTCCCCCACCTGTCCCCCTCACGTTTAGGCATGCTCCCCACGAGGAGAGATGCCAGCCCAGAGCACACAATTTGGTCGCGAGGAGATGTTAACTACCTCGCCTGGTATACAAGAGGTTGTGGGCTCGATCCCGACTCGGACTCCTGCTGTATATTTGAAGTTGCGGTCTCTCTCTCCCCGTGGTCACGTAGCTTTTTCCCCGGGTCCTCCGGTTTTTACCTCTACGTTTAGAAACATGGCTGCGAAAAATTTCCATACGATAAGCCACTTCGTTGAGCTATCAGTTGTGGCTAGGTCTCTTCTGAAAAAGTTCTATATCGCTCAGTGGGCCTTATATTCTTTACGCATGTTGATCATAATCATTTATAATTATAAATGTATAATAATGAATGTGCATTAAATAACCAGAGGACCCAGATAAAAATCCATTGTTACAACGGGGAAAACACGCAAACTCCAAATATACAGGCGTCAGGCTTGGGATCGAACTTACGACCTCCTATATACCAGGTGAGGCGCTATAGTGCATCCCATCCCTTTTGTTTATACAAAAGGACAAATACATTTACGCTTTTGCCCTTGATAGTAAAGCATGACACGAGGCAAAGGTATGGAGATGAATGTAATCTGAATGCTACTTTGCAAGCAGCTTCCGAGCCTGGTCTCCTGAGGTGCCCTTACCGTCACATTCTTCAGGCACTTCTCACAGCTGCTGTTGTTCAAGGACGAACAGTCTGCAAAACGAGAGACACGTGGTTACAATGAAGGAACATCGAGGAGGGAATGACAATGTGGTTTGGGAGGAATAGCCTGGCGAGTGCGCCACATGGTCAGAGAAACGTCTCAGAGAGAGTGCGACACAAACATTCTGGAGAGAATTACACGTCAAGAAGGACCTGACATGTGAGTTAAGAGGAATAACCTGGAGAGAGAGAAGCAACGAAGAGCACGCTGTGCGGTCCATGTAATCAGCCGTGGACTACGGAGCTTGCTACCTGCCCAAGTAGTCTCTGAATCATAAAAATCAAACCGACTGTGTGCATGTACGGTGCTCTGTCAATCCGCTGCTGGATGATGAGTGCCTCCCCGGGCGAGCGGTGTGCGTCACGGGGTTCATCTAGCCATGTTGTGTCATTGCGGGTTGGTGGAGCGTGGGGGGTGTGGGCATGGAGGGGGGAGCACACGAGTGCTGAGTTTCCCCCTTGCATTACGCGGTAGATGGATTCCAAATAAAAAAAAAAGGCGCATGAAGCGAATCGCGTAAAACGGAGCCACATTTGGTTTAACACGTAGTAGGCTTTCGCGAGCAATAATTATCCATAACAGTTTTATTTGTTAGATCGCGTAAATATGTGTCGTGAAACCCGCCACTACCCGATACAGCCCAATTAGTAAGGTTTGTGACGTCACAAAACTCCTGATTTCGTCAGCGCTTTTTTTTCAATGGCGCGTTTTACAGTCGACTCGCCAAAGCTTGAATGCGCTGGCCCGAGGAGAAGCCAGCCCCTCGCCAGTTTCTGCAACGCCTTACAACCTCCGGCGGTGCCAACGCAGCCCATTTTTCCCCGCTTCATTGACGGGCCAGGGAGAGGGGGGGCTGGCGGGATGTTTCGTGGTCTTGAGAAGAGGTAATGACAGGGGCGCGTGCGCCGCAAAAATGAGAGCAAGTAGCATGTATTCGGACAGCACGAGGTGACGCGAGACTTAGTGGTGGCTGCGTGTACCACGGGACTGCAAGTCACCTAACTCACAATGCACCGCACGAGACAGCTGTCTGCCGAGCAACATATATAGTGTACGCCAGGGGAATCGGCAAAACCAAAATAACAAGGATCCATTTTTTTTTATTCAGTAAAAAACTCAATACAATAGACTCTCGATTTTCCGCGCTACTGACAGGGAGGCTGGCCGCGGATAATAAAACATTGCGATTAATCCAACAATATACATTTTCCGCGGATCTGTATGCACAGAAAAGTCCACTCACTTAGTAGATGACAGCAGAGCCATGCCCCAATCAAACAATAAAACTCCGCCTACTGTTATAAAGATATGCAACTACTCTACTGTAGTGGCGATCACGTGGATTTCAGATTAACCGGAGCACACATTTGCTCGATTTAAGCACGTGACTTGGAATACACATTTCCAAGAATAACAATGTAGACATACAGTACCCTAGCGTCTACAAACTGAGTTGCCTCTGTGGTAGTATCTTCTTGGTTCTTTCGGTAAAGTCACGTAGAAGGGAAGTAATAAAATAATAAAAATAAAAATTACTTTATTACTTCCCTTCTACGTGACTTTACCGAAAGAACCAAGAAGATGAATCCCTGCAGTCACGAAATCTTTAAATCGAAATCTGTGGTAGTAGTTACATTGGGGAAACCAAACGACATGTCTCGGACCGCATGCGTGAGCACAAAGCAGACCTGAAACACGGTAGGACCAACACCTCGGCCGTGGCAGATCACTGTTGTAATTCAGTGGGCCCACATGACATTGACTTCTCCAAGACAGAGGTCCTCTGCAAGCCATCTGGCTACCATGAAAGATTCGTTCATGAGGCTATCCACATATACAAACACAGAGACAATTTCAACCGAGAAGATGAATTCTGGCTTAGCAATCATTGGAAAGATTTGATAAACCATTTCGGGTCTTAATTGATTGTGTTCACGCTTACGGTGACTTTCAGACCGCATTCCATTTTCTTCTCCCCCCTCCTCTTTTCCGAACATAGATGGACTCGTCCATCTGGCCAACTGCCAAATCGCTGTCTGTGGTGCTGACGTTAAGAAAAAAACGCCACTTTTTTATATTTTCTTGTTGTGGATTTGACACCTGATGATGATTGCTTGTATTGCAGTCGAAACGTCGTGATAATTTTGTTTTATATTTTTATTTTATTAATTCCCTTTTACGTGACTTTCCCTAAAGAACCAAAAATATGAATCCCTGCAGTCACGAAAGCTTTAAATCAAAATGTAGACCTGTTTACAGATTATTAATTTGGGCTTAAAGGGAAAATCCATGAATCAGTAATTTGCGTCAAAATCTCAGGTGCGTGGTTAATCCACAAATCGGAAGAGCACGCGGATAATCGAGATTCTACTGTTTTTCAAGAGCCTCACAATGCAACGTGGTGAATACGAGCCGGTGTTAGTCTTGAATAAATAACGTCACGAAACAAAGTCCTTAAAGAGCCGCACACGGCTTCCGGAGCCGCAGGTTGCCGACCTCCCCCACCCCCCTTTGCAGTAACTCAACCATTGCTGTGCCATGTCCGAACCGCGTAGGCCGCGTGTCAGAACGAATTCAAACCGCATAGCAGAGCGAATTTCCGAGTAGACTTGATGATAGAAATAGCACAAACCGAAACTGCAAAAAAGCGAGGGAAACCTGGACAATACAAAAATTGTACTTTTCTCTACTGCCCTCTGCAACGCACCCCATAACCCCCAACTAATAAAATATATATATAACAATCGACTAATATTTAACTACGTAGTAAATAACTCTGCTAAAGATGACGTGACGACGTGTGCAGCTTAACCAATTGCTGCCAAAATAACACAACAGAATAATCGACCATCGAGTTAAAACATAAAACGACAGCGAACCAAGTGTGTTCACAACATCTACCACTGTAATAATCTCTGAATATAATTGATGATGAAAGTAAATCAAAGTCACCGATAATCTAATCATAAATCCAACAATTTTCCGAACAGATTCATTAACTAATAGAATGATGGAACTGATCATACACTCGTGTGCAATATAATACATCGCTGATAAGTTGACTGGCAGAAGGATGGCCCAACAATAAGGACCCAACATTCGCCAACTGCTGGCATGTCATACCTATCAACCCCTTATCAGTGCCTACCTTATTACAGACCAATTCAGACATTATTGCCCACCCCGTGCCCTTATCCCATCACAAGAGAAATACACAAACAAATAGACAAAATGTGCCCATATTGAAACGGCTGTAACGCCGTATGAACCTGAAAACTCAAATTCCGTGTACAAGAATACGGGTAAACCGTATGGTTGACAGGGATGCAATGAATCTAGATTTGAAGCTTTAGTGACTCCAAAAAAAAAACTTGGACAGTCGCTGAAGCGTTGTCAATGCATATGTTACAATATATTTTATTTCTACCTACGTGACTTTACCGAAAGAACCAAAGAGTTTAGTGTGTAGGTATGCAATGTTCTGATTATCGACCACTGCGATAGCACAGCGATGATCGTCAAACTGTGGCCCACACATGAGTCGCATCGTGACGACCGGTAACCTCGTAACCGCGAGTCATCCTCGAGTGACCTCTGAATAACCCCCGAGTAATCTCAGAGTAATCCTCGATTAATCACCTCGTATTCCCCTGGTAATCATATAGTTACCCCCCGATAACCATCTGGTAATCGCGAGTAATCCCCTTATAATCGACTTATAATCCTATAGTAATCACATTAATTTCCTCATTACTCCGATTAATCCCGGGGTAATCCGAGAGTAATCCAATGGTAATCCCATAGTAATTCCATGGTAATCACATGTAATATCATGGTAATCCCATGGTAATACCAAGGTAACCCCATAGTAATCCCATGGTAATCCCATGGTAATCCCGTGGTAATCTCGACGCTCACCCTGGGCCGCTCCGAGTCCGGGGAGGCCGCACAGCGCCAGCGCGGCCACCGCCACCACCGCCAGCAGCAGCCGCCGCCTCGTCGTCATGGCAGCAGCACGGCAGGGAGAGACAAACAGGGCCGTGGGAAAAGGAGGAGTAAAGCTACTACCACCGCCCTGCAGGGAGAGACAAACACGGCCGGCACCCACAACAACAACAACAACACGGAAGGGTCGTCACGAGCCCCGCGCCCTGGGAGACGACTTCCGTGTCGGTGACGTCACGCGGCCAATGCGCGTGTCTCGGCCTGCAAATCAAACCCGGAAGGAGACGTCCTCTGAAGATAATAAGAATATGCATTGCCAATGCTTATATATTATATGCGTTGTCAATAATATATTGAACTTTGAGATAATATATGTATTAACAATGCATATAGTATAATATATGCATTACATGCATTGGTCATATGCTATCAATGCATATGATATACGCATTGTCAATATATATGCTGTGTATGATAATATATGCTGCGTTTTTCCCCTTTTCTGGCAATAAAACAGGTTAATATGTTCAAACACCAAAATCAATCCAAGTCATTCAGTCTGCATTAACCACACGTACTTGTGGCATAACATGCAAACAAACCATGCTCTGATAATATACGAATTGTCTTTGTAACTGATTGGCTTATACCAGAGGCGTCCTTTATGGCCTTGTCTCACTACCAGTGTTAGACCATTTTATTTATTTTATTATTTCACTTCTACGTGACTTCACCGAAAGAACCAAGAACATAGTACAAATACAATACAAGTATCAGAGCTCTTATAGCTCAGATTGAGCAGTTATATCTATGGGACATTTTGCCAGTATCCAAGATGATGAATGTATATATTATCAGAGTATGTTTTGTTTGCACGTTTTGCCACAAGAATGTGTTAGTTAATGCAGACTTGATGTAAAGGGTATTTTATTTTGGTGTTTGAACTTCTTAACACAACTGTTTTATTGCCAATGGTAAGAAAAAACTTGGATGAGAATTATTATTTATACTGCAGGAGGAATCCGATGAGCTATGAAGCTCTTATTGCGCAGATGCCCGTAGGGGCAGGTCACAACATTACAACAATGCAAAAACGATAGCAGTGCAAAGTATAGGAAAGGTAAATAAATCATCTTCTTGGTTCTTTCGGTAAAGTCACGTAGAAGGAAAAAAATAAAATAATAAAAATAAAACATAATAAAAAATTTCTCACGACGTTTCGGCCACAACGCAAGCAGCCGTCTTCAGGTGGAGAACAGGTCTGTCGAGAAGTCTGCCTTCTGTCGAGAAGTCTGCCTTCTCGACAGACCTGTTCTCCACCTGAAGACGGCTGCTTGCGTTGTGGCCGAAACGTCGTAAGAATAATTTTATTTTGTTTTATTTTTATTATTTTATTATTTTCCTTCTACGTGACTTTACCGAAAGAACCAAGAAGATGAATCCCTGCAGTCACGAAAGCTTTAAATCGTAAATAAATCACTTAAAAATATGTATACGTATAAAACTTGCAATGTTTTATCTTTCCAGGTAAAGCACACTGAGCTATTAGCTTAATTTTCAGAAGCGACCTGGCTAACACAAATGATAGCTCAACGAAGTGGCTTAGCATCATCGCGTGGAAATATATACAGTAGCAGCCAAAGACAAGGGTTCCCCCGGGTCGCCTTTACCAGGCCCAGGCCATTGGCGCAAGTGCTGTCAGCCAGTAGCACCTGTGAGGGCTGCTGCCCCCCGATTCCTCTCCCCCTTCATCCTCCCCTTGCTCCATCCTCGCTTTGCCGCTCATAGCTTTGGCCTCGCTGCCTCTGCGTCTCCCCTGTGAGACATAACTCTTGGCTGGCTCGCGGCCACCTCGGGTCATTCACCCACACTCCCCGCGTGCATTCCCCCTCCAAACGTTAGTAGGAGACTCCCTGCACGCCACGACCCACACTCGTGTACGTGCAGCCACTCAAATGCGACGTCTCCGCTCTCACAACCACGCGCGCCAATCGCACGCGCGGAACGGGGGGTCAGGGGTCAAAGGGCAGTGACGTCACTCGAATAGGCGTTGCCGCTGAGAATGGGTAATGGAGATTATTTAAAGGACTGTGGGGCGGGTATTCGGGATTGATTTTAGAACGAGCGTTGCTGTATGTTGGGGAATTAATGAGATACGTTAATCGTCCTCCGGCTCCTCTGCGCAATGATGAATAACTAGCGACAGGATTCGTGCACCAGACTCGGGCACAATGGTCGTGGTATTCGACTGGATGCGCACTTAGGACTCTTACGCAATGGTTGCCCCGATATAGTTATACACGCGCCAATCTCTGCGTTACGACGAGTTTACTCACGCCACCACACGCTCTCCCCACACTCGCAGAAACCACTCGAAACTGTGTATTAATTACTAATGGTTTATTGCCGGCGTGCCTGATGTTATATTTTACGTAACCCGGGGCCGAAATCAGTGAGGAAGCTGCTCTGTTTCCCGACGGTCTAAACCCAATTCACCCTGTCGATTTCGAATGCATCTCTCGAGGAGTTATCACGCTGTTCGCTATCTCTCTCTCTTGTACTCACGGTTTGATTCGGACGGCGCTCCTGCGGGCCAGTCCTCACTGCACTGCGACTCGTCACACAGACGTTCGAGTGCTGGAGAGTCGACCGATCCTGGCTTGAGAAGAACACGACTAACTCTATCTCTCCCTTCCCTCCCCTTTTATTGTTCTTTACATCAAAGAAAACCTGTCGCTGATTCGATAGCCTTCCCGGCCAATCAGATTGCCCGCCTGCCATGCCTTATCTCTTGCATCGGTGCTCTCAGCGCCGTCCGCATCCCGGTTTCCATATCAACGGGACTGCCGCTGGGCTGCTGCGTTGGCAGCCGTGCACAAGCACATTTGTCCTGCCAATCAGATGCTTACCCTGGTTTCCTGCCGTTCGTAGCTCCGCCCCCTACCTGCCTGCTAACCTGTCTGTGTTTGTGTGTGTCTTAGCCACGGTAGCTGAGTAGCCTCGTGTAATTCCACGTTAATTCACGGCGCTGCAGTGCCATTTAACCTCGGGGAAGCCTCGGCCAATTCCCTGGTCCCAGAAAACCGTGGAGAAAGTTCCCCACGAGGAGGGCTCCTGGGTGAAAACCTGTAGGCCAGGTGACTTCCTCACGAGGCCCTATGTGGGGGTGTGTGCGTGTGTTCATGTGGGGGGTGGTGAGGGAAGAGCAGTGTCGGCCAAGCTGTTTGGTGGTGGTGGGATCGCAGGTGCGGCGCCGGCAGAGCGGCTTTGCCGCTGTGGCATCACACACCTATAAATATTAAGACAGCACATGAGGGGGTGGGTGACCAACACCACGCCCGACCGCCTTTGTCTCCCCCAGTGCCGATGATCACACACTTGCACCAGGTGCCCCATTTAAGGCCGAGTCCGACTTGGGGGAAAGCCGCCGCTGTGAGCGGGAATAGAACTCGGGTCCGCCGGGGTTCGTAAAAGGGTTCGTAATAAGCAGAGCGCGCTAACCACTTGCTCCACCACTCATCCACACCACTCCTCCAAGCCAGGTAGTTATTGTGTCAAGGCCCTCTCTCTTATCTCTCTCATCTCAGCCATTCTCCCACTCGTCACGCGCTCGCGAAATGGGGCATGTCTCGGCCTCTCTGTGCGCTGCGTTGCAACACTATCCGAGTAGTCAACCTCGCATTCAATAAACATTCAGAGCCAGAGTGAACATCCAACTCCAAACGTATTTAATTAATTGAACGAGGTAAAACTGATGGAAAAACGCAGCACAAAATACATCATCTGTTAATACTTAAAATATCAATACAATTGTAGAGGAGTAATGGATGACATGACGTCATGAGCGCCGTGAAGCGGGATGACGTCATGTCACAGGGATTGTAAGGCGGGTACTTAAGGGGGACCCCGTGACGTGAGCGGGGCCGTTGGGGGAGCCCGGGATGCTGAGCATATGAAAAGGAGGTCTCTCCTGCTCGTGACCGGACTGAGTTGGCTCATCCCCCGTCCGGGTTCTATGAGTAGGAGAGCCGAAGAGATAGCCAGGGGTATGGCTCAGAGAAGTCTAAGAGAGCCGGCTAGAGTTGTGAAAGGTTCTGCTCTCCTCGGTTGGGCGGTGTTGGCTGAACCCCTGTCCAGACTCGAGTAAGAGAACCCAAGAGATAGCTGAGGGTAGGGACAGATAGAGCTTGAGGTCCGAGTGAAGGACCGAGTGTAGGGACACCTATCTCTGGTGTGATTTGTTACCCTTGTGTTAATAAACTGGCGTAAACCCCTACATGAAGATCTGTTTTCGTGTGCATCTTCATTACACAACACAATGAACACTGCAGTATTGTAACATTGTCTAAGATAACATGAAACTCCACAATAGCTCCTGGATGGACCAGGCACCTACATTACCACTGAATAGCTATAAAAAAGAATAAGCTACTGTGTTGAATAAGGTCACTTCGTGTAATCACCATACCGCAGCCTAAATGTACAGCGCTGCACAAAACACTGAACTGTGGATGAGATACTTCTTCATCCTTGCTCTCAAGATCGCATTAAAGTTACATGGGTACAAATCTGACTCGACTTATTCAATTACAAGTAACATTCACAATAATGCAAGTGGGAGGCTTTGTTGTTAACTAGGCCTCATATTTATCATAACAATTTAACAGCATTATAAAGGCATTTACAGCATTATCACAACAATCTTAACATAACAGCATTCCCAGTATTATAAGAACATAAGCGAACTTACAGACAATGCTTCTCAAAGTCCCACAATGAACAGATGCACTTGTCTTCACTGAGACGCTATTTGTGCCTCCATTTTGTACTCTGTGTAATGGCTGATACCCTGCCTCATGGTTTAGAGAATGTCAAATCGTAACTTCCTGGTCACGTGACCAAACTCAACATCAGGAAATGTCTGTGTACACACACCACACCTGCCCGTCTGGTAGCTAGGAGATACCACCATTTATTTTCCTATCTCATAAACAAATGTACAACAAACTTTAACGGGTCAAATTATTTGTCCATATCTTTGCGAGAGAGAAGTAGTATTGTCTCAGCTATAGGCCTGACGAAAGTTCTTGCGACACCTTGCTTTGCTATCATAACCTCAACCTTTCTAACTTTTCCATCGGCACTGGAAATCGTCTTGAGGATGTGGCCGATTGGCCACTCATTCCATTTGAGTTGGTTGTCCTTTAGTAGGATGAGGTCACCTTTTTGGTCTGTTCGAC